GGCAAATCAGAACATGAACTCACATGCAAATGGCTAGACTTGTCAAACACATCCTCCACAATCGTCCCAATGCCTGAAAAACCTCACATAAAGCCACAACAAGTACTATATATATATGTATATGACATTATAAGACAGTTGTTCAGGAAGGCTGCCCAGGAGCCAGGAGCTCCTGAAAACTACCAGACCTGCCCCTCACACAAAGAACCCATGTCCCCAAGGGCTTCCATTCGCCAGGCTACCCTCCACGTCCACGTCGTGTCTTACGCTTGGGCTTCGCTTCCATGCACTCGCTCGGCGGGCTCGGCCGATAGGTGACCATCGAAAAGAGGTCAGCGGGAGAACGCTCCACCAGGCACATCCCTGAAAAGAAGTATGTCAGGTTTGGGCATGTGCATCATGCAACGCTACATTGACATACCGCGACAAGGATGAGATGACTATCGGTCGTCAATAACACTAGCATCAAGGTCTGTATACAATATTAATCTGTTGATATCTGTTGAGCATTTCCAAGCCCATCCTTCAACTCCCTAGCCTCCCTGCCTGATAAAAACACTTGGTCATTCAAGGAAGCAAGCCGTTCCTTGCAAACCCCATAGAACACTTGGTCGGCTTCGGAGGGTAAGAAAAACCTGAGCTGCGTTCCACACGACAACAAAACAGACTATGAACCCAGGCTGGTGTTATGACAAAGCATGACATGCCAGGTCCTATGAAACCAAGTGTTTGCTCCAATGCTCTTGTTTTTTTATGCTAGGTGAATTTGTCTAATCAATATAGCTCCGGTTCTCAGAAGAAAAGAAAAGAAACCGTGAGGCTTCTTTCGCGCAGAAGCATGAGGCGATCTCGAGGGCATAGAATGGTCTTGGTGCTCTCAGGTAGTTCCCAAAGGCCCAGCGACCCAAGGCCACCATGCACCACGGCAAGAGGGCTGATCTTGAATTCGTTCCGCATGTTCCTTCAATGGAATTTGACCCCAAATCACTGAGAACAGCGTAACAGCGTGCTGTTTGGAACATCTGCGTGCCATGGTCATAGAGTGTAATTTTCGATGCCGAGACGTGTGCCACATGCCACAACTGTTCAGGACAAACACTTCAAAACCATGAGACGACATCTTGGTTACCCAGTGAGACGACATCTCAGGAACCAAGTTTCATCACTCGGAGGCCCAGCTTTTCATCTTCCCAAAGCCCCAAACATGTGAAGATGCTTTGCAGCGCCGCCGGGCACGAAGAGCTCCAATAGGCCTTCCGGAGCTGCAGAAGCAGCGCTTCGGCAAAGGGCTCGGTGCAAATGGAGGCGGCCCTGTGGGCCAGGGGATCAATGAGAATAAAAACATATCCAAGGGACGACTCAAAAAAAAACACTTAAAAAGTTCTTGCGATGGTGATCAACAAACAAAACTGTAGTGAAGAGTCCGGACGAGATTATTCACTGGCCTGTGGTGAAGATAGGCCACCGGATGAGCGAGCAAACAGTCGCAGCTCAAATCGCTGTCTGTCAGGTCGAAGCGCTCCATGAACGCCCGCAGACCCGAGGACTCCGCGGACCCGACGTGAACGGCGCCTGTCTTGGAATCCACACGGTAGATGTGGGCCTGAAAGTGTGTTCCGGGGAGACCCAGTGTTCCGAAAGGCTGAAAGCATCTGCGTTTCTTGGCGTCAGTTTCCAAAAAAGAACGGATGATCCACTGCCACCTTCTCAGAAGGTACGACTGGGCCCTCCAAGCCTACATAAATAGTCTCCAATCACCTTCTGAGAAGTTACGTGGATCCATAGGGAACAAGCAAAAGGAATCTAGATTTTTTAGTTGAGTCACATAGGCTTCCACTAGCTGCGAGGTTGCAGTATCTTCATCGGTGAGCTCCACCAGTTCTGAAAGGAAAGGAAGTATCCAACATTCGTAGCCTGGATGTGAAACGTGGGGTTGTCTTTAGTGAAAGAACACTCTTCCCGCAAAACCGGTTGTCATTCTTCATGCCGTGTTGGCTTTGTTGGCTTCTAAGAGGTATGCAGGCCCAGAACATGCATAACTGCAGAATTAACTAATACAGTAATATTAAGTACGAGAGCACAATAACAGTAACATCCTGTAACTTATCAAGCAGGTATGTCAATGGCCCCCATGCATTGTCATTAAATCAACTGTGTAGTGGTTGAAACATGACTGAGCCTCTGCAAATCCCCATGATATGAGAAGTACACAAGCTCGTGATCTTCATTGCCACCAAAACACCTGCTTTGAGTTCATCCTCGGCATCCGGGTAAGCCACGTATTCGTGGCGTGGGGTGCGGCGTTCACTGTTGTGGATGCTTGAAATGCGTGCAATCTTGATCCCGAATCGGCTGCTACTGTGGAGCTCTTTCAGCACACATCGGTCATCGTGGCCATCCCTCAAAGCATTGCAACCTGGCACAAGAAAAGGGCTCCAACGCACAAGAAATATTAACTATACTTTTTTACGATTCAACAGCCGTGCCATGATACAACGAATCCTCAAAACAACAACGGAGCAACTCTGGGTCTGTGACAATTTCTTTTGGACGAAACACCACACCTTTCTTCACCGTGAACTTGAGTGTGGGAATGCTGACTGGAGCTGCCTGAGAGGACATCTTGAGCTGCAGGCACGTGGCAGGTTTGCAGCTAATCTGTGTCTTGCTATGTCTTGCTGTTTGCACTGTGTCTGCGCATCGGCACCCTTGGCTTCCTCTGAGAACTTCCTAGAGTTGCGTGTCGAGTGGTGTCGAGCGTTGGCTGTGCAAACCCCTTTTTGTTGGCTCCCCTGATTTGACGGGACGCCTCATTCCATCATATGCAAGACCCTGGTGCCTGTGCGGCGAGCCACGAGGCAAGTTGCAACAGTTCTTGTCGACAAGGGCACTATATAAGTGACCCACGCCGTGAAGCCCCCCGCGGCAAGGCGGCACGACGTGATCAATCAGGATCCATTAGGTCATCGAGTCATCAGTTCTTGGAGCTGATTGCCAGCAACAAGGAGGGCCAAGTGTGAGTTGATGCACAGGAGCGGAGGTTTAAACTTCACTGAACCGACATGGGGTCCCAACGACTGAAGCTTAGGCTTTGCAATACGCGATGGTGCCGCTGAGAACTCGATACCCTGAAGCGCAACCATTTTCCGTGCTCGGATGCCCAGCCTTCCTCCATACCTGGCCTCGAGACAAATCATTGCCCAGCAGCCCTAAGCAAAAATAGCTGCCTTGGAAACCTGTTGGTCAAAACGGCATCCCTATCACATCATGCTCATGATACGTATCCCGCCTTAGTGGGTTCGAATATGTTCGAATGCT